TGCTCTTCACTGATCCCTGATTCATTTTTCAGGGAATCAGCAAGCTCACCTTTATTCTTAAGACAATGATCTCCCTGACTGTTAACTGTTTCTATGGCTGCTGTAAAAGGCAGGACAATTCCTCCTGTGTTTGTAGAAGGCACAACAGCAGAAGGAGCCTTGGGTCTTTCTTGGCGTGGGCCTCCATCTTTCTTGCAGTTATCTACCATTAATAATTTAGGAATCTGGTCTGGGGCTATCTCTTGCCCACTTTTTGCCAAGGTGTCTAGAAAAGAATCACTTTCTTTTACTACTTGAGGAGTAGGAGTGGGCAGTTTTTCACAGGCTGCTGATTCCAGAGCCTCTAGAGGAGTTGACTTATTTATCAGCTCTGATGGTATTCTAGGACAGGTAAATGTAATATTTCTATTTTCGTCCACATAGCCCATTCCTTCAACTCTGTGGTCCCCTGTGGTTTCCATGGGAACATGTATTTTTGTTGCATCTATCTTATTCTCCAGAATGTGCTTTTCCGGAGAACTATTTTTAACCTTTTTACTTTTTCCATCATTACTCCTTTTATTTGGTTTGTCAGCCACTGCAATATGTCCCTTGGCTGCACCTGTCTTATTCTCCTCAGACAGTACTGAAGGAACAAATCCTGTCCCCTGGATTTGGTCGTGGCAGCTCACATCTGTCACCTTGGCAGCTGTTTCAATAATAGCAGAAGCCTTGACTGTGTTTGTTTTGCTCCCCACAAGAGTTTCAAGCTCAAAAGAATTAGCCTGAACATCTCCACCCTTTCTGTCAACTACTTCTGCTGTGGGTGAATCTGATGTACGTGAAAACAAAGGATCATGCATTTTGGGAAAAATGAGGCCTAATTCCTTGTTTTTGTGAGGAATACTACCAGCATCTCCATCCTTCCCTACAAAAGGTGGCTTAAGGATTTCTTCCTTCCTTTCCACTCTAGCAGGCTGTGTGGAATAATTACTTTTAAATTTTTTGGTTTTGCCTTCACTGCCTCTCTTTTTAGGCTTTTCAGAAATGCAGGGAGCTGCCTCATGATCCATCCAAAGACACTTTTCTTCCTTACTCTGGTTACTGACACCCATATCTTTAACTATAGTTCCTCTTTCTGTCCTAACATCAGAAGTCTGAGTCATGCCTGAATCATTTTCCAAAGGAATTAATGGCTGCAAGGTGTTTGACACCATAGTATGAGTCGTCTCCTTAGGCTCCCCCATGGCCACAGGGAGATCAGTCATGGTTCCTGGTTGCTTTGAGGAATCCAGCCTCAGCTCCTCACTCTTATCCTGATTAGTCACTCCTTCAGTTTTAGAGACTGGCTCACCTGGTACAAGAATGGCCCTTCCATCCTTCTGGCTATCCAGAAGGAACGGCAGCTCAGATCTTGCTTTTACCTTCCCAGAATTTGCTCTCACTTTCCCAGAACTTCCCCTTCCCTTCCTGCTTTTGCCATCACCTACCATTCTCTTATGTGGTTCATTCTCTAGCCCAGGGACCTGCACTAACACCTGGCCCTGCAGCTGCTCAGAAGCAATGAAACCAATCTCTTGACTTTGCTTGGGAAAAGCTTCCTTTTTTAGTTCTTTATCCTCTTCAGCTCCTTCAGGAGTCTCTTTCTGTTTGACATTCTGCAGTTTAGTTGTTTTACTTTCATCATTCTCTTCTTTTAGGCTACTTTCTAATGGATTACATGCTGTCAAAGTAGGTATCAAATTAAGCTGTTCTTTGGCTACAGTGGGTTTTAAAACTATACCTACAACCTCTTGGCCCAAGACAGGAAAGCAATCCTCTTTGGGTATGATAGTCAAAGGAGTTTGTACTTCGTGTGCAGAAATTTCTGCCAGGGGTCCTTTCAGATTGAGAGAGCCTATTGGCTGGCTTTTATCCACAGGAGCCTCCAGGAGGGGTTCAGGCTGTGGTTTGTACTCATCTTGCTTCAGTAATTTCTTGTCTTGGCTCTGTGGTATTGACTTGTTACCTTTGCCCTCTTCCTCTACTCCCAGCTTGGGCTGAGAATTTATTACAGTTTTTGGAGGTTCTTCTGAAGGAAACAAAGGAGCTCTGGGACCCTCTGAGACAAAGTTCTCACATACCAGTTTGCCTGCTCTGGAGCCAACTAAACGTTCCCTTTTCAAGTTTTCTCTGGGTACAAGTCCATATTCTGTGCCCACAGTGGTAGATTGGCTGGGGAGAACACCTGACTTTTGTGTGTCAGCTGCAAAGGAATGACCTCTAGGCTCATCTGCATTGTCATCATCCCAAGGTCCCCCAGCCCGGGGTTGAAAATATCTCTTTTGTTTTGGTTTCTTCTTCTTTTTCTTCATCATCATTGGTATGCCTTGTATATCCCAGGCCTCCCTGTCAAGATCCCTCTGGGGTTCAAGTGAGTCAACATGAATAGTTTTCCTTTGGTTCCCAGGCTCACCACAGGAAGATAAACCAGAGACCCAACCCAACTCAGATGAAGAGCAGCGGCTCAGCCTGGGATCAAGAGTCTTCTGTGGAGGAGAGCCTCCCAGCAGCTCAGGAGGGACCCTGGCAGGCTTAGGCTGGGCTGACCTGTGATCACTGGGTCTGCAAACTTGTTTGGCTTGTGTGGGAGGGGTACCGCAATACATGAAGTTGGCTACAATTCCAAACAAAAAACTCCTTGTTATTGTTTCTTTAAAAA